AGAGAGAGAGAGAAAGAGAGGAAGCAAAGAAGGAAGAAAGGAAGGAAAGAACAAAGGAAAGAAAGACTGGAGGAAGGAAGGAAAGAAGGAAAGGAAGAAGGGAAGAAGGAAGGAGGGAAAGAGGAAAGAAAAAAAGGAGGAAGAGGGAGGAAGGGAGGAGAAACAATAGGGGAGAGAGAGAAAGCAAGGAAGGAAGGAAGGAAGGACAGGAGAAAGGTAGGAAAGGAGGAAGGGAAAAAGGAAGGAAGCAAAGGAAGGAGAGAACAAAGGAAGGAAGAAAGAAAGGAAAGAAGACAGACCTATTAAGTACCTACTTTATGTCAGGCATTGTGCTGTCCTAAGCAATTTGCAACAAATTATTTAATGTTCTCTTCACAACAACCATGGGAAGAAGGTGTAATAATTATCCACATTTTACATTTGAGGAAACTGAGGCAAAGATTAAGGACTTGCCATGGTCACACAACCATAAAGTATCTGAGACTGAATCTGCACCTAGAGCTTCCTGACTGAAGGTCCAGCAGTCTCTCTACTGTACCACCTACTTGGTGGGTGACAGTGTAAGAAGAAACATTTCATTGCTTCATTTTTATGGAGTATTGTCAGGGTCAACAAGGGCATTTTCAATCAGAGTAGTACAATAGCAATGTGTCTTTGCATGAGAAATCATAACACATCCCAATCCCAGTGCTTAGCACAGTATCTGCCACATAGTAGGTGCTTAACAAATGCTTATTGATTGATATATTGATTGCTTGAATCAAAATCCTTGATGGAATATTAAGTTGGAGATGGAAATGACAAGGGCAAGTGATTGATTTCACCATTGTTACCCTTGCTGTCTTCTTAGTCCATGTGTCTATTTCTCTCCTTGCTTCCTGAGCTCGGTGTATCTCATTATCATTATCTTTAGTTCTCACTAATTAATAGCTCATATCTTGTAGGCTGTTTTGTAGATAACTGAATAAACCTGTGAGACAGGGAGCACCGGTATTTTTATATGTGAGACAACTGATATTCAGCAAGCTAAGGGTCAGGAAGTAATTGGACAATCAATATGTAATTATTGACTACTAATAATTACTACTACCAAGGACTGAGTTACTAAGAAAAATCAAACGGTTCCTGTCTTCAAGTAGCTTGTATTCTACGAGGGGAAAAAGTGTGTGTTCTCTCTGAGAACTGAGACTTTCATTCTTTGGTTTTTATTCCCATTTCTTAGCTCAGAGCCTGACAAAGAGTAGGGGATTAATAAATTCTTGTTGACTGATTGTTACATAACTTACAAGACTGATACAAAATCAATAGAGGGTTTTTCTTTGCGGTCTTTTTTTTTGGCGGGGGAGAACTTGAATCCAAATCTAACTCAAATTCCCAGTTTTTCCTATTATAAAATGCTGGCTCTTTGGTCTCCAGAATTCTAGTTCTGCCACTTAGTGGCTGTGTTTTATTTCTCTTCTCACACCATAGGTTCCTCACAAGTAAAATCGGGATAATAATCCCTGAATAGCTTACCACAAAGCATTTTTGTGAAGATAGAAAGAGATCCAATCTGTAAAAGTGCTTTGTAAAATATAGGGCACTCTATTAAATGAACCATTATATTTAACCTGTTCCTAACTCAGTATAGAGATTGGCATATTCTCCTGCAGGAACCCTCTCACAACAGAATGTGATTTGAGCAGCAACAGAATTCTTCTTAGAAACAGGAATTTCTTCCCTCTACTCTTGGCCCTGCATTATTAGCCTCTTCCTAAGTCCAGAGTAATATATTTGAAATCTATGAAGTCATTCTATCAAAATCATTATCTCAAGTGGATTTCAGATAAGGGCTTTTTGAAAAGGGACACCCCTTAAACCCAAAATGGTGTTGAGAAAAGGAGCACTGGATTTGGGATCGGAGAAGCTGGTTTACAGTCCTGGCTCTGCCATTCAAACCCTGTATGACCTTAGCCCAGTCACCTCACTTTCCTCATCTGTTAAATAAAGGGTTTGGACAAATTAACACCTTGCAGTTCTGTTTATAATCCACCTTCCTCTAGAGCTTTAACGCTTACAAAGGACTTATAAGGTTTTGGAGCTTACGTTTTTTTCTTATAACAGTCCCGAAAGGTAGAGGATGTAAGCGTTATCATTGTGTAATGGATGAGGAAGATCAAAGGAAAGGTTAGGGATGACATCAAAGAATTTGAAAGGCTGTCCTATGGAAGTTGACTTCTTTTGGGTCCTAGGGACTCTAGAAGGCAAAACTGGGAACAATTGGTGGTAGTTTCAGGGAGGAAGATGTAAAGGACATTGTTATTAAAATGAGAACTATCAAATTTTTAAATGAATTACTTTAAAAAGCAATGGCTTCTACCCTACTAGAAATTTTCTAGCAGAGGACAAATGATTTTGTCTCTACATTGTTATAAACCAGGGGCTCTTAACTTTTTTTTTTTAAATGTCATGGTTCCCCTTTGCAGTCCAATGAAGCCTGTTGATGCCTCAGAATAATGTTTTTAAATGCATAAGGTACAATAAATAGGATTGGAAAGGCAACTGGTTATATTGAAATACATTTATTGAAATATTTTTTAAAACAAGTTCATGGAAATAAGGTTAAGAATATGGAAGGTTTTATTGTTCAAGTACGGCTTGGGCAAGATGACCTTTACAATCTCTTCTAGATCTTAAATTCTGTGATTTTCTCCTTTCCTATAAAGCTAAAGTACAGTCTGCTTGACCTAGAGGCCAAGTAATGAGCAAATATAAATCCTGGACCCAAGATTGTGTCTGTTTTCAAATCTACTATGAAATCCACCTGACAAACCAAATCCAAGTTCATAGGATGAATTAAGAGTTGGAAAAGAGCTTAGCAAAAGTCTATCTCACCTTCTTCTCTTCCCTTTACAGATGAGGAAACTAAGATACTCAGAAGTGAAGAAGTTAACTCAGGGTCACAGGAGTAGCTTGTGGCATAGTTGTGTTTCAGATGCATATCTTGTGCCCCTTAATTTAATGATCTTTCTCTTCCTCAAGTCTGAATTGAATCTGGTGGGTGGTAAGATTGGGTTTAGAGTTAGTTTCTTAGAAAGAAGACATCAAGGGGAACTGAACTTTTAACTAAGGTGGCTAAAGAAGTCTTTTGAAGAGCTAGGGGATGACCCAATTAAATGACAAATTATGAATTATGGACTATATATTTCTTTTTTCTTTAAATATATAATTAATAAAATGCATTTTAATCAAAGGAAGAAACCAAGGATTTTATTTTTTTTAATACAGACAGGATTTTCAATTGAGTTTTCATTTTCAAAGCAACTGGATACCTTAGAGGAGAGGAGACCAAAGCATTTGGAATGCCTATGTACAGCCCAGGGAGATAGTTTTGGCTTGTGCTCATAATGGTCCTATTGATCATTCCATGCCTTTGGAGCATTCCTCCTGGCTATTTTTCAAAGATGAAATTAGTCTTAATTTGTATATTTCTCTGAAACATCTAATGATCACTCTGTGAGAACTGCATAAATTCCTGAGTATTAGCATCTATATTTTGAAAACCTTCATTTTCCCTTAAAAATAATGGATACTTTTAAAGAAATGGAGTGACTAGGATTAGGCAAGAGCTCTAAGAACAAAAACATTGAAATTGCTTGGAAAAGGAAACGCAGCCAGCATTCTGGAAACTTTAATTCCATAAGGAGCAAAAACATAAAAAAAAGATAAATAAGGTTAAAAATTTTTAATTAAAGAATATAGTTTGGGAATATATAAGAAAAGAATTAATGAAGAGGACAAAACAAAGAAAGTTGTCTTAGGAAAAGGGATGGAAGAGGAAAGAAGGAAGATGAAGGGCATTTTAAACTAACTACTTAAATGAAAAGAGAAAGAGGAGGAGAAAGAATAGAGATTGAAATAAATAAAAGAAAAATAAATCATTAACTTCAGTAAAAACCCTTAGTAACAAGGGAAAATGTTGATAACTGGTAGAGGCAGGAATGAGAGAAGGAAAGGAGCCCATGGGAATAGGGTTGCACTAAACTTATTTAAGAAAAAAAAGTAGTGAGGACAAACAGTTTTGATTTAAAAGATAAAAAGGACAAAGCAGAAATCTCTTTTGCAAGATATAACTGGAGGAAAACACAAACTTAAGTCCTTTCCCTTTAAATGTAAATGAACTAAATCCAATAAAAGGAAAGTGACAAAATTAGTTAAGAATAGCAATCAAACCAGAAAAAGAAATTAAAGGCATAAAGTAAGGGAAAGTGGTAACAGAATTATCTCTATTTGCCGGTAACATGATAATTTGCTTAGAATACCTTAGAGAATCAGCAAAGAAAGTTAATAACCATTACAAGTAGTTAATTACAAAATTAACCCACAGCAACCAATAGCATTTCTATAAAGCAAAAGCAAAATCTAGGTGGCTAACATAAAATTCTTTGTTTGACTTTTAAACCCCTTAAAACTCAGGCTCCTTAACTTGTCAATCTTCTTAGATCTTATTCCCCTCCATATACTTATTTCACAATCCACTAACTCTAATTTCCATGATGTTTCTCAAACAAAACCTTCTCTCTTCCAACTCGGTATTTTCTTTGGCTTTCCCTCAGGCCTACAATGCTTTTTCTACCAACCTTCACCTCTTAGCTTCCCTGCTTCTTTAAAGTCTCAGTTAAAATCCCCAAATATTGCAAAAAGTCTTTTCCAGGCCTCCTCAATTCTAATGTCTTCCCTTGGATATTATCTCCAATTTATCTTGTATATACTTTGTTTTTATATAGTTGTTTGTATATTATCTTCTCCTTCTCTTTCCCCATTAGTTTGGCCTCTGGTTTTGTTTTGTTTTGTTTTTGTATATCTAGCATGTAGCAAAGTACCTCGCCCATATTAGAAATTTAATACATGCTTATGGACTTTTAAACTAATAATCATCAATAAATTTTAGTACCAATTAAAGACAAAAAATAGATTTTTTGACTATACCATATGAGGAAAAATCAGAAACATTCACACTTGTGCTCTCCTAGGCAGCATACATACTAAAATTGAAACAGTACAGAGATTATAATGACCACTGTATAAGGATGACAGGCAGATGCATGGAACATTTCATACAAGCATAAATAATCAAACCTAAAAGCAATGTTCAATAAACCCTAAAACATACATTACCATGCCAACAAGAATTGCTAAGGAAATTATTTGGCCTACTTATTTTCTAATATTTTAATTATATGATCTTGATTATTTGAATTGGTATCCATTTTTAATTTACTGTGGATCATTATATATGTAGGTCTAATCCTAATTTTTGTCAGCTGTTGTTTGGTTGTTTTTCATTTGTCTCTGACTCTTTATGACCCCATCTGGTGTTTTATTGGCAAAGATACTGTAGTGGTTTGCCAATCCCTTCTCTAGCTCATTTTATAGATGAGGAAACTGAGGCAAACAGAATTAAGTGACTTGCCCAGGGTCACAAGCTACTAAGTATCTGAGGCTAGATTTAAACTCATGAAAATGAGTCTTTCTCAATCCAGGCCCTACACTCTATCCAATGTACTTCCTAGATGCCCAGTTTTGGCCAGAATTCTCTCTAATTTCCTTAGCAATTCTTGCTCTGGGTAAGTCTCTAAAACTATAAGTTTCATAGAAAGTTCTCACCTGCATCAATATGAGTTTCCTCACCTGGGTGTTCTCTCTACCCCTGAAATCATAGGTCCAAGTTGACTCTATTTCTTCTTGCACAAATCCTCAACTGCAGAATGTAACTTTCTGTTTTTTCTGGGCTTTGTCTTTGGTTTTTCGTCTCACAACTGTGCACAATGCCTTACGTAGAATAGGCATTTAATAACTGTTTATTGGATTGAGATGGGTTAGACTGGATTGGAAGAGCTTTGTTTTCAACTTGGTCACCTAGTCTACCTCTAGGGCGACTACTGAGTACTCTGTAGAATCTTTGACTTGGCTTTCTTTCTTTTTTTTTATTTTTAGGCAATTGGGGTTAAGTGACTTGCCCAGGGTCACACAGCTATTAAATATTAAGTGTTTGGTCTGAGACCAGATTTGAACTCAGGTCCTCCTGACTTCGGGGCCAGTGCTCTATCCATTGCGCCACCTAGCTGCCCCTAGCTTGGCTTTCTTTCATAAATTACTTTGAACATTCTTCACATCAAGAAAGCACGTAGAAAATGGATGTATTTGAGGAGCATAGATTGTGTGTGTGTGTGTGTGTGTGTGTGTGTGTCTGTCTGTCTGTCTTCTAGGACATGACAGAATAGTTCCAAATACTATATATACTATTTGCCTTAGCCTGCCCCACAGCCTCAGTGTTCTTTGAATTAATGGGGCTCTCTAGCTCTATCTAGCTACACGTACAGGAGAGCTAGCTGGCCCCCAGGGACTGGGGTATGCATGGTAACTCATTTCCTTATTTTAATGTGAAACAGTTCAGTCCAGGTGTGCCCTGCAGGAGCAGGTGGAGACAGGGTAGAGACCTACGTGATGATAATTCATTCACTGGCTTTAATCCTTTCACATCTGAGTGTTAGTCTAAAGGAACAGATCCCAGCAGGCATACAGAAGAAATAAGTGAATGCAGTTGTGGAAAGGCAAGTGAGCCCCAAGTCTGCCTGCCCTTCTTTATGTTTCTTAAAGTGATACTCTCTGTTCTGCAGGTTTTAAAATGGAAAACATCTTTCTCCTTGGCCAAGATGACATCAGTGTATGGCTCGAGTTCCTTCTGTCTCTCTATAAGAATTATGTTCTGCTTTACATATATTATCTCATTTTATCTTCATGACAACCCTGTGATGTGGATGCTCTTACTATCCCTCTTTTGCATTTGAAGAAATAAAGGTAGAGAGAAAGATGTTAACTGTTGGAGGTGGGATTTGAACTCAGGTCCTCCTTCTTCCAACACTACTTCCTTCCAACATTCGATTATCAACAAGCTTCTATTAACTACCTACTGTGTGCTGGTCATTGTGCTAGGAATGTAAAAAGAAAAGTGAGCCCATCTCTGTCCTCTGGAACCTTCAACATTGCTGCCTGAACAGTATGGGAAATAGAGGGCAGTGCCACTAACCACATTCATTAATAGAGCAGAAAAGGAGGAGTGTTCAGAACAGGGATAAGAGGACAAGCCAGAATTATTATTATTATTATTGTTATTATTATTATTATTATTATTATTTAAGACCATTTATTTGGCTAGTAAGTTCAGTAGACTTGGGAAACAAATAGACTTGAGTTCATTTGCTAAATGGGTGACCTTGGCAAGACTCTCTATCTTTCTGGGCCTCGGTTTCCACATCTATAAAATGGGAACCACTCGGGGTGGAGGTGGGGAGTTGTGAGCATCATTAACCTATGTGCTCTGACCACTAGAGAATATAATCCAATTGTCATCTCCCTTTAACTCCAAAATGGCTTTAAGATAGGTAGTCAGGAAGATAACAAACATCTATCTTCTCCCATGACACCACCTCTGCCAGTATACAGAATAACCCTGAAATGTGTAGCCTGTTCTAATAGAACTGAGGCTTTAAAATTGATTATTTCAATCATAAAGAGACAGCATTAGAAGGACGAGGGATCACATTGATAGGTAGAATTGACCTCTGTCTATTGTAAAGCTTTTTTAAAGGAACTACCAAAATGGGACCTTTAGAAAAAAAAATTAATAGATACTGGATTTGCTGTTAGAAACCTGATGTGTTTGTAAAGACCAGTCATTGAGAGCTATTGGTTTCTACAGGTCTTAAAAAAAATTAGATCTTATCCTTATGTGTGTATTGGTAAGGTGATTAGGGCACAAGAAAGGAGGATTTATTATTCATGGAGAGGTTACAGTGGCAGCCTTATATTAAAGACTTCTGGAGCTGCCTTCTCATCAGCATGATTGATCACCCAGTTTTGATACAGTAGATACAGAGATTTATGAGAGAGCTCCCTCTCTCTCTCTCTCTCTCTCTCTCTCTCTCTCTCTCTCTCTCTCTCCTGCTGAAAGAACTGTAAGATAGAGATAGCGGAGCAATTTATTAAAATAGCTGTATGTCAGTCACACAGCTCATCTTGGAAAATCATTTCTGAAGGGGACTCTCCCCATGAGATAGCAAGAGATGGAAGAAGATGGAGGGTTTTACCCTGGGGTGTGTAGAGTAGCCACAGGGAGTGGAATAATTATTCTGCTCAGTCAGTGAGCACCTCTATTCCCTCTTGGGAGTTGTTAGCATCCTTCTAACACTGACTGCAAGGGGCCATTGACCTCTGACTCAAGGACAACAAGGAGATTAGAAAGATCAGAAGGTGTTGTCAAGGATACAGCTAGGGTCAGGGAGGCAATGTAGTCCAAAGGCAAGAACACAAATTTTGGGTTCAAATCTCAAATGCCAACTACCTGTATGTCTTGTACAAGTCACTTAGGTTTCCAGGGCCTTAGGCCCTCCGCTATAAATTGAGGTGTTAGACTAGATAATCAGTGAGCACCCTTCCAGCTGTATGCCCATAGTCCCTTGACTTTTCAACAACCATCACCCAGCCCTCTCTTTTTATTTTTTTTTCAATAAGATCTCCAATACAAAATACAAAAATACAAAATACAAAAAAAAAAAACCAAACAAATAAAATACAAAGACATGAGATCTTCCCCAAAAAGATGCAGGGCAAAGGAGAAGAGATGTTATAAAGCTGTTCTCCTTTGCTGTAGTAAGTGTTATATCTTCTATTTCTTCCCCTCCTTCCCAAATATGTCTCTCAACCACCACTGTGTAAATGGGCCTACCCAAATACCAACCCAGGGAACTGGCCTCTTTCTGCTTCTCTCTACTGCTTATAGACCTCTGAAGAGTTGGACAGAGATTGATGCCCTTGTTAGAACTATTCCAGTAGCTGTTGTCTTACTGCTTCATAGACTTTCCCTAACTTTTTGATCATGGTAATAATTTTGAGTATGAGACAACTCATTAAATGTACTCTTAACCAGAAGTGTCTTACACAATTGGTAGGGCTCACTTATGGCAAATTTGTAAAGGAAGAAAAGTTTGTTTTTGGTGGTCCTGTTGTCCTGGTGGGGTCACCTTTCCTATTTCCTATCACGCTTTCTAATACCTTCATCTTTCCCCCTAGCTACTCAAGGTCCCTCCCTGAGAAGCTTACCCCCAAATCCCTCCTTTCTCTGTCCCATACTAGATCCTAACCAGTATTCCTCATTCCCTTTCTTTAAAACTCTCCTAATCTGATGGATTGATTCAAATGTACTAATGGGTAATGATCATTCCTCAGAGGTAGCATATTTGTAATTTGAAATGATGTTCTGGAGAAATAGTCTTCATAGTTCAAAATGTCTTATATTGATATAGCATATTGCAATTAAGAGCACATTTTCATGTACGTTGCCTTATTAGATCCTCATAATATCACTAGGAGTCCATTAGGGCAGGTATATTTACCCCTCTGTTAGAAGGAAGAAGCTTAATATTCACAGAGATAGAGTAAAGTTACCTAAAGTAACCCGTCTGCTAAGTGACAGAGCGAGGACTCAGAATACTAGTTTTTGGTTACCTCCATTATAACCCCACAAAGTGACACTAATGGTAGTGATTTCATGGCCAGTAATGGAAGCTGGTATTAGTTCAATTTCTGGCACAAAGTAGGTACTTAATAAATTATTAATGATTGATTGAATATCGGGCCTCTCAGATCTCATAGGCATCTGTTTAATCCAATCAGTGTGACTCAGCAAACAAGTATTGAACAACTACTGTCTGTCCTCACAGAGCTTACATTCTTTAGGGGGAAGAGACAATCAGGACCTGATATTTAACCATAATTCAAGGCAAGCAGTGATGAGTGAGGGCAAAGGGAAGATCTATACAAGGGCATCTACAAACATTTGAAATGAGAGTGACCGTTGTCAGTTGATGGGATCAAGAAAATCTAAAAAGCCTTGAAGGAAGATAGCAGTGAGGTGAAAGTGTTTTGCAGATACCTCAATTGTGAATGCATGGAGGCAAAAGGCAATAGCACGCTGAGATAAACAGAGAGAGTTTTGCCCAATTTGTCTAGAATATAGTATGCAAGGCACATAAACATGAAACAAACCTGGAAAAGCAAGTTGGC